CTTCTGTAGTGGTGATCCCAACCATAAAATTATTTTCGATGCTAGTTCATAACTGTAATTTTGCTGCTGTTATGAGTTATAATTAAATATCTGAGATGCAGGATGTTTTAATATTCGACTCCTGTGAAGGTCTCGACCCCAGGTTGAGAACCACTTATCTAGACCTAAGTGTGTTGGTCTTAGCAAAAACCCCTAGCTCCTAAATTTGAGTTAACTGGAAGGGTAATTGTGTTCGTTGAACAGTGGTTATATTCTTCAGAAAATGAAGGTCTTGTAATTCTGGGAAGATTTAGAATTAAGTCCATCTTAAGAGCTGTGCTGTAAAAGGCCGTGTCTCCTCCGAAATTCAAACTGAAAGTTAATTCTCAGGGGAAGAGTATTTAGAGGAGCTTTTACGTGGTTATCAGGCCAGGGAGGGTGCCCTCATGGATGGGATTAGCATCCTAATAAAGGGATTTGGAGAAATGGGTCTGACCCCTCTTCAGCCTTCCTATCCATTTTACTAATGAGGTCACAGTTTTCCCCTTGGTGAATGTAGCAACAAGGTACCATACTGGAGCAGAAAGAAGCCTTCACCTGTCAGGGTACCGCCAACACCCTAATCTTGGACTTCTAGCATCTACAACTGTGAAAAATAAATATCTGTTCTTATTTTGTTTGTTTTGTTCGTTCAACTGTCCTGGAACTCACTCTGTAGACCAGGCTGACCTCAAATTCAGAGATCCACCTGCCTCTGCTCAGATTAAAGAAGTGTAAGACCACCACCCAGCAATATTTCTTCTTTTTGTGTTATCTAATCTCAGATAATTGGTTTCAGTAGCACATATGGGCTACAGGACCTAAGACAGGAGATCTTTAGAACTAAATACAAGAATATTTGCTGGACATGGGGGTGCACACCTTTGATCCCCGCACTGGGGAGGCAGAGACAGGCAGATCTCTGTGAGTTCACAATCAGCCTGGTCTACAAATTGAGTTCCAGGGCAGCCAGGGCTACACAGAGAAATCCTGCTTTGAAAAAAAAACAAACCCAAAAGACAAAAACACATTTAAGAGGGGCTGGAGATGGTTAAGAGCACTGGCTAAGGACCTGGTTTGCTCCCCAGCACCAACAAGGAGGCTTATAACCATCCAAGGGGATCCAACACTATCATATGCACTTGGTATACAGACACACTTACAGGCAAAACACCATTTAAAACTTAAGAAAAAAAAGAGACAAACTATAGCTGAAAGCCTCAGTTAGAAGATGACATTTCATTTGAGTAATGTCCAAAGTAGGAAAGAGTCATTTATTTGTATCTGAAACAAGAGTACTCCAGACAAAGGGAACAGCAGGATGCAAAGGCCCTGAGTGGAACAAGCATGGAGAAGGCGTGGGGAGAGCTATGTCTATAATGCCAGCTGAGCTGGGTGGCTGAGGCAGGGAGGAGCAAGTCCAAGGCAGCCCTAGGCCACTCAGAAAACCCTCATCTCAAAATAAATTTACTTTAAAAAAAAATGTGGCTGGGCAGTGGTGGCGCATGCCTTTAATCCCAGCACTCAGGAGGCAGAGGCAGGCCGATCTCTGTGAGTCTGAGACCAACCTGGTCTACAAGAGCTAGTTCCAGGACAGCCTCCAAAGC